CAGAACCTTCGCCAGAACAATAAAGCTCTCAGACAGTCGCCAAACATCCCTGAAAAGCCGCCAAATATTTTTGGATAAAAAAACACAACATGACCATACTTTTCCCCTCCCAACCAGCACCAACACTTCATTATCGATCAAATTGATGAGATATTGAGATCAAGTAAACAATCAATAGATTTGAGTACATGGCAATATTACATAGGCTGAGTTAGATAGCTCCTAAACAAGTCCAATAGAATTCTGATCTTGATTAATTCACACCCATATATAATATCGTATCTTAAGTTCTACATCATCAATGGAGAATTAAATGGCTATTTTAGGGTAAGAGGGGGGATTAGACAAGGGGATCCCATGTCCCCTTATCTATTTACCTTAGCTATGGAATATCTTTCTAGTGCCTTGATGAGCTCAATGATAATAATGCTTTCAAATTCCATCCTAGATGTGATACACTCATGATCATTGATCTCTCGTGTGTAGATGATTATCTCTTATTAGTTTGCAATGGTGAGTTTCATTCTATTTAGATAAAATCCAAACAATAAAATTAGTGGTGTATCTCATGACACAAGGCAAAGGGTTTTGCAACACATTCAATATTGAGAGGTCTCTTTACATGTCAAACAAGATTTTAAATATCGGACGTCCGGTATATATCGGATGGTCAAAACCATATCGAATTGCGGAATTGGGGAAGGGAAATGTAGTAAATATCGAAGTGCCTAATCGATGCTGTGCATATATAGTTATATACTATAATGTCCTAGAATGTAATCTACAAGATTAGTTGCTAGCAAGTAACATCAATTTGAACTTCTATCTTAATTGTTGAAGCATGAATAATCACTTCTTTATAGAATAGTTCTCTAACTAATCTTGTGTTATATCGTAGATTGGCTGGTGGGTTAATAACATTCTTGAAGCTCAACTGCAAAAGTTCAACTAAAACTTTTAAATATTAAAAGCAAAAGAAGCATAACGTATAACAAAATTAATAAATTTTGTTTACACAATTTATTCATATATGCATGTGACAGGATATTGTAATGATATCAACCCAAAATCGAAATTTGTAATCTAAAAAAACCAAGATTGGCAGCAATGTCTGCCGCAATTTCCGATATGCACCGACATATCCCTAATATTGGGTCAAAAATGTCATACAATATGGAATTGAGATTTCCTTAAGGTAAGCCCTCAAATTTGCCATGTCACCAGCCATGTCAGGACACTGGTGACTGTAATTTAAAACATTGTGATGAGGACATCACGGGCGGATTCGGGCGTACCTACCAACGTAGGAAACGCTTTCTGGTGGACAGCATGACTATTTGGCTTTGATTTTCAGATTGAGTAGTTAATTCAGTTTAGCAGTTTAGATTGGAATTTTGAATTTTAAATTGTGGTTTAAATTTAGTAGTTAAATCAGTGTTTAATATCTGAGTGATTTGAGAGATTTCCAAATCTGTATTTTTCTTTTCTTTTTAAAGCATTGCTGTAATCAGAAATTGATTAATGAAGATTTGAGAATTTTTTTTGCTAATTGCATTGTGAGCGTGTGAAACACGGGTGTGAAACCCTAGCCGCAATCCCTGTTCCTTCTCCTTCCTCGATCAGCCACTT